CCCTCACAGGGAACAACTTCTTCCTGATATCTAATCTAAACCTACCTTATTTCAGTTTAAAGCCATTCCCTCTTGTCCTTGTAAAAAATCCCTCTCTAGATTTCTTATAGACCCCCTTTAGGTACTGGAAGGTTGCTCTAAGGTCTCCCTGAAGCCTTCTCTTATTCAGGCTGAACAATCCCAGCTATCTCAGCCCATCTTCATAGGAGAGGTGCTCCAGACCCCAGGGCATCTTTGTGACCTTCCTCTGGACCTGCTCCAATATAAGGTGGACATCCTTATATACTAGAGAGACTGTCTATGGTATGTTGATGCTAGCTGGAGATAACATTCTCTTACACAGTTTTGGTAGTTTTAGGTCTGTCTGGTCACTCACAGACTCCCTGATCTCCACCCTAACTGTGAGTTTAAGGGTCATCTGGTGCAGATAACAGCTTTCACTTCGTTTCAGTACATTTGCATACTGTAAGGGAATGAATTGTGCCTGCCTGTGTCTCTGTCTGCTCCCAGGCTGACAGAATCTGGCCTGTCTATGGTTGACTGGCATCTGGTGAAAGAGATGAAACCCCCGAGAACACAGCAGGAGTGGGAAGCTGAGTTCCAGAAGTACCAGCAGTTCCCAGAGTTTAAAATGTGAGTGTGCAAAAGTGGAAGGAGGGTGGGCTGGGAGCATCCTTCCTGTGACTGAGCCACTCAAGGGGTTCTTGTGAGAAGGGAAGTGTTTTCTACCATCACTAGGAAGGTGCACAAAGCCTGTCTGATGGTGGCTTCTTCGCTGTCACTTCTTTTCTCTGAGGAAGGTGATGGCTTCTCGTGAAAAGTACAGCGTAGGACATCACATGAAACAGTTCTTTGTTTTACTGTTTTTAACAGCCTGAATCATGACATGACACTCACAGAGTTCAAGTTCATCTGGTACATGGAGTATTCGCACCGCATGTGGGGCCGTGTCGTGGGCTTGGCCTACATCCTGCCCGCTGCCTACTTCTGGCGAAAGGGCTGGCTCAGCCGCCCCATGAAGGGCTGTGTTCTTGCGCTCTGCGGGCTGGTCTGCTTCCAGGTGAGTGAGCTCCGTAGCTGCAGGGATTAGCAGCAGCGTCTCCTGTAAGTATCTTCTGGTTGAGCGTAGTGGGATTCATGAAAGCTTGCGGGGTGTCAGTGCTGGGACCTGGTTGAAGGTGGAGGAAACAAGTTGCTTTGCCCCTTATGTTTACCTGTTCTTAGTGGTTGTTGCTGCCCTGTCTGGCTGCAACCCCTCTCCTGTGTTGTCAGGGGCTGCTGGGATGGTACATGGTGAAGAGCGGGCTGGAAGAAAAGCCAGACTCGTACGACATTCCTCGGGTCAGTCAGTACCGTCTCGCAGCGCACCTTGGCTCTGCGCTGGTTCTGTACTCTGCTAGCCTGTGGACGGGGCTGTCCTTGCTGCTCCCACAACACAAGGTACGGAATGGTGTGTCAGGAGTCAAAAGTGCAGGGTGGTGTCAATTCAGAGGGTTGGGGGGTGATGGGAAGGGTGAGGGAAGGGTGTGAGGGGTGGTGGTGCTTCCTTTTCAGTCTGTGTTCCTGACTCTGATCTAGTACTGCATTACAAAATACCCTTTCTGTAAACTTCTTGGTTATGGGGCGCTTCCTTTGTCTCGTGCTGTTCCGCTCAAAAGTGATTAGTCTTGGAGTTTGTGCAGGCTCAGGCAGGGCTGTGCCTGGCTGGGCTAAACGCTTGTGCCAGTAACTGTCCAGTGGCCAGTTTGGTTTCTGCACAGGGTTGGACTCAATTAGTTGTGGTTTTGAGGGACCCCTGAAGCGTGGCTGTGCTGTGTGGTGGTCTCTAGATCCCTTCTGTAAAATGCAGGTCAACCCTTTGGCCTGTATCTACAGTGAAGGCTTTTATTTTACAGTTACCTGAAACCCATCAGCTCATTCGCTTGAGACGATATGCTCATGGCACCACAGCTCTCATTTTCCTTACAGCTCTTTCAGGTAAGACTTTCACTGTCCCATCTGCAGCTCATTCCTTTATGCCCTCCTTTTTATTTTTTATCTTCCCCTGGTCCAGCAGGGACTGTGAGCAACCCCATCATGTTCTCCGGGAAAACTTTTTTGCTGTCAGGGAACATACAGTCAAGAGCCTCCCTTACTGGTCCTTCCTGAGGAGGTGGAGATGCACCTTCCAGCCTGCCTGTTGCTGTGTGACTTCTCTATATGTTTCTGAAAGAAATTCAGGATCAAGCTGAACTCTTGAATCAGAGCTGCACAAGCTGGAGTGCACCTTTGCCTACTCTGGAAGTCTCATTTCCTGCTCTGGAACTGCAGGTGCCTTTGTGGCAGGGCTGGATGCTGGCCTGGTGTACAATTCCTTCCCTAAAATGGGGGAGCGCTGGATCCCAGATGATCTCCTTGCCTTCACCCCCATACTGAAGAATATCTTTGAGAATCCTACAACTGTACAGTTTGATCACAGGATCTTGGTAAGTGCTGTCTTCCTGCTATGTCTGTGCTGCTTCTCAGTAGTAGTAGTCTGTGTTTAAACCACGACACCTCCTGCAGCCAAGTTGTCCTCTTTGGGCCGTGATTCTGTCAACTTGAGTGATATCCAGGGTGCCCAAAGGTCCTGAGAGTGTGTTACCAATTTGCTTCTGCAGAGAGAGGAAGTTTAGCACTCTTATTTATGTTTAGCATGATCTCCTTCCTTGAGGACATCTTCTTCCTGCACAATTTATAGTCTTTGTGTTTCATTTTCCATGACACCAGCTACTGACCAGGGTAGCCCTGGCTGTTGAGATGTCTGGGAAAGTTGGGTGAAATAAAACTTGGAAATCCCAGTGCTGAATGCTTCCTCCAGCACTTCTGACCATGCTTTATACCAGTAGCACCCTATGAAAGTATCTCAGCTAGTTAGAGCAATCCAGATACTAAGCACCACTGCCCACTGCTGTGGGCTAGGCCATCACTAAGGTGAAAAGATTAAGTGACTTAAAAGAGGAATCACCTGGGGTGACCTAAACAGCAAAAGAGCACTGGTGAGCTTCCACTATTAGCTGTCAAGGTGACAGATGGGGAAAGAGCAGAAATAATCCCTAATGACATGAAGAAATGAGGAAAAGCTGTTGGAAAGTAAAGCATTAATTTTGAGAAAAATTGAACTCTGTAACTTTAGGTAAATTTCAGTTTCAGCAGGCATGGGAGCTCCAGGATTTGGTCATAGCCACTAACATGTTTCTACAGTTAAATGTTGCTCACAGAATTTCTTCTACTGCATGGAAGGTACAGCCAGAGGCCACTGCATCAATTTCCTTTGAACTGTTCCTGAAGGGTAGTTGTTTGTCTCCCCATCTGTAGGGAATCACCTCCATCACAGCTGTCACAGCACTGTACCTCTTCTCACGGAAGATCCCGCTCCCTCGCAGGGCCAGGATGGCAGTGACTTCCTTATTGGCCGTGGCTTGCATGCAGGTACTCACGAAACAGAGCTATCCCTGCCTTGGGTATGGGCTGGCCCCAGGAGCAGGAGCCAAAGAGGTGGAGCTGCCTGGACCTGGAGCCTCACTGAATGCACCTTCTGGATTGGAGGGTGGGAAGCGTGGCCGTGGCCATGAGCCTTTCTACATCATACTGGGATTGTGTGTCCGTGGTGCATCCACAGCTGCTCTTACCCCTTCTCCCTTCTTGGCAGGTGGGCCTGGGCATCAGCACCCTGCTCCTGTATGTCCCCACGCCTCTGGCTGCCACACACCAGTCAGGCTCCCTGGCGCTGCTCAGCATGGCGCTCTGGCTCATGAGCGAGCTACGGCGGGTCCCCAAGTAACCGGCCGGGGGAAGAGCCCTCCCGCGGCAGCCGGGCCCAGGGGCAGCAGAGACCCTGCACCTCGGGTGCACAGGGGTGCGCGCAGGGAAGAGGTGCCGAGTGCGAACGTTGTAACATAAAGGCGTTTTTACGGCGCGGCTGGTGTCTGGCTGGGTGCCTCCTTTCCGGAGCGCGGTGCGGCGAGATCGGGGGG